TATATATATATATATATATATATATATATATATATATTTATTTATTTATTATACATGCGCACACACACACACACACACACACATGCACACATATATTAATATGTCAGGTATATATGATATATCTACTATATATTATATATGTGTGTGTTTGTGTATAATATATATATATATATATATATATATATATATATATATATATATATATATATATATATATATATATATATATATATATATATATATATATACACACACACACACATATACACGCATACATACATACATATATACACATACACACATACAAACATACATATACACACATACACACACACACATACATACATACATACATACATACATACATACATACCCCTCCCCACACACACATACATACATACATACATGTATATTTATATACATACATACATTAATAATGTTACTAATGTTTATAACATTATAGTAATCATAATGTTTATAATAAAAATAACCATCGATATTCATAGCACTAGTAAAAATACATTTTCCCACCAAATGAAATCAGGTAAGGCAGAGCCATCTATGTGTAGACATTTCACAAAAAGTATAGAAAATGAGCACAGAATTTTCCACATTTTTTGTTCATTTTTACCCATCAGAAATGGGTTAAAAATATTGTTAACCCATTGCCGCCGGGGAAAATGAACAAAAAATGGGGAAAATACTGAGCCTATTTTCTATATATTTTTGTGAATAGTCTGCCCATAGATGGCTCTGGTAATGCCTGATTTGAATACGTATTTTTCACTAGTGCCATGAATATCGAAGGTGTTATTTTTATTATAAACATTATAATTTTTATAATGTTTTTTAACATTAGTAACAGCAAAATAAGATGACGTAAAATATTTCGTAAATTAAAGAAAAAGGTGAACGGGTGAGACAGGCGGTACTCATAACTGGCTCATTGGTGCTTTAGTACAAGTGTAGCCATCTATGTGTAAAAACAATCCAACAAGTAATCTGACAGTGGCCATGGCATGACATGCCTGGCGGGAATGGGTTAATTGATATAAGTCAAGAAGTTTTATTAAATATAATTAAATGAGATTTTTGGCAAATAACTATTAATGTTTGAATTATGAGTGACTTAGTCTTTAAAATGTAGAATAATTTTGACAAAATCATGGTTGTCATGAAAATGGAATATTATGTGAATATCTTGTGTATTACTTTAAGTATAATTGTAACCTGTCATTGATTATGTATCTACTTTTATAGGTGGATAAGAGGAAAAGCCTACTTTCACAGCAAAGGAGGAAGAGGCCTGACGAGGGGTTCCGGCAAGAAGATCCGTCATCGTGGGGGACCAGGTCGGGGTAAGAAGTGGGTTTATGATGACCCTCCTGTGGGGTCTGGCCAGGATGCTTATATTGTCCCCAGAGCTGTCAATCGGAACCAAGTGGTGGATGCAGAAGGGCCCAGAGAGGAATTACCTGATACGGAGTCTGTAGAAGAAATTGTGGTTAGTGGGGATAAAGTGAGTAGCATTGGAGGGGCAGAGGAGAAAGATGGCTTAGATGAGGAAGACGCAGAAGCTAACAGCCCTGACGGAGGGGAAGGAGACAACGAAGACAGTATGGAGGCGTCAACACAGAGTGAGGACCAAAAGAACAAAGTGCTAGAGATGATGTCATTGCAGTTCAATTCAGCTGATATTACTGAGGGCTCATTCCCAGAGGCAAAGAGAGGAAGGCGCATCTCTAGGTACACAAGGAAACGTAAGTTTGATGCACTTGAAGGTGAAGACAAGACTCCAGAAGTGGTAAATCCTCAACAAGTTTCATCAACTCCACCTGCCTTGCCTCTAGTTGGGAATACCATCACAAATGTCCTCAAGAAAATAAGAAAAGAAGGGTTGGAGAATCTCCCAATGCCAAACACGTCTCCTGCAGTTGTAAGAACAAGGAGGGGAGCACAGGAGCGGAAGTCAGGGAGCGAGAAGGATTCAAGTGAAGAGACAGCCAGTATCTCAGAGGCTTCTGAAGTGGACTCAAAAATGGAGGAAAACACTGATAGTGGCAAGAACACCCCCATCAAGCAATGTGTGAAGAGGGGTCGAGGGAAAGCAAAGAACGTAGCTGATGCTGATGTTGGAAATGAGTCTGGAAATGAGTCGCCAGTTATTCCTCCAAAGAACCGTAGCAAGACTAGGTCAAGTTCAGAGGAAGATCCTCAACAGGATGGGGTTGAGGTGTCTGTCACACCTCCAGTTAGTGCCGGAAGAGGCAAGGGTAGGGGTCGGGGACATATTGATCCTGATTCTTCTCTTGCTCCTGTTGGGAGAGGGAGAGGGGCCAAAAGCATTATGAAAGAGGAAGCTGTTAATAAACCTGCTGGAAAGGAAGAAGTTCCTGTACAAAGTAAACCAAGAGGAAAGATGCGACCTGAAGCCGAGAGGCTGGAGGAGGTGGCTGGGATACATTCACCCTCGGCAGTAGGTCGTGGCCGAGGGAGAACT